GATACGAACGAGTATGCGCAAGTGGAAGTGAATTTGGAGTGACGAACCGAAAGTATTTTGAAGAAATAACTTTTCTAATTATATTATATTGTAGCATACTAATTATGAGGACAAGTGTATGTGTGTGAGTGGGTGTGTGTGTGTATGTGACGGGAAAGGGGGAAGAAAATAAGAAGAAGAAGAGAGAAAAAGGAAGGGCTGCTACCCAACCAGAAAGAAGAGAGAATTGAGGGACCAATCAGACAGAGAGAAATGAGATAAAGGAGAGGGAAGAAAAAGAGAGGAACAAGGGAAATCACCCAGCCAAACTGGGTCATCCCGTGACCCGCGGCTCGACCCGGCGGAATTGATGAGTTCCAATGCATTTTCATGCAATTTCTCCAGTGGTTAGAAGCCACACATCACCAAGAAGTGACCAAGCATCCATTCCTCTTCCAATTTCATCAAAACATTGCGTTAAATGGGTTTGATTTCGAGATAAACCCATTGGCGAGTTTGTGGGGTGCGATGGCAAATTCCACCATTTTTGAAAGTTATCATGTCAACTACCACTACCAATAGACTCCTCGTAACCCCAGGAACAAAGCCCAAGCAATGGTTGAGGCGTCGGAGTTGCTATGGAGACGAATTGAGGACACCCAATTCTAGGGTTCCGACGGGTTTTTATAAAATTGGAGCCTTTCCAGGCCAAATTGCCCTTGGTCACAGGTATGAAAGTTGTTATACTCATTGAGATCTTAAAATTTGCAAATTTTGGTAATTTTTAGAAATAGTTAATTTTTCCGGCGAGTCGAGGCGGCCAACCACCACCTACGGCTGCGAGTGCAGTGGCGCGTGGCCTGAGGGCCACCAATGCTATTTTTAGGCTATATAAGATGCCTTGAATTTATTTTTGAGAATTGAATGATGTAGATTGATCGTTAGAACCAAAATTCTCTAAGATACGTTAATAGGCCATTATATGAATCGACGATCCGACCGTTGGATTGTCATCAAAATTTAACAGGTTATTATTCATAATATTTGAGGAATATAGGAACTTACGGATGGTAATCCAATGTACGAATCTCCTTAAATTGGATCCGTAAATTCGTAAAATAAAATGTTAACCGCCACCTGGTTTTGGCAATTGGTGGAGATCCGACTGTTGGATCATTCCAAAACTTTAGTATGTTATTCTAGAAGCATAATGTGGATCCTTGGAAGTTACGGATCAAAGATCTGATTTGTAGATCTTCTGAACCAAATTACGTAGACTGATGTGCGATGTAAGTTATGTATTGTATCAACAAGAATTCTGAGATATGGTTTGATAATTGGTCACAGGCACCGATCGTTTGTGATGCCACGATGTTCGTGCTAGGAAGTTGTAGCACGGACTCCAGGTGAGTGGATCTTTCCTTGCTCATCTTATGTTTCATGATTGATAATTGGGTAAATTACATAGTAGCCCCTCAGGTTTGAGGTCTATTACAATCTCATATAACATCTTTAAAACATTTCACTTCCATACCTCAAGTACTATTTTATTTCAAAATAATACAGCCGTTACATTTTCCATCCATGAATCCGTTAAGTGCTGACATGGCTGCCACATTTGTGCCACATGGCAAATTTTTTTTTTATTTTCTTTTTTAAAAAAACCTGAATAAAAAAATAAAAAAATAAAAAAAAATAAAAAAACTTGAAAACGCAGAAACCCACCCCACCCCTCTTCTCCCTCTATCTGTTTCTTCTTCTCTGCCTAACACAGAAAAACACCAACCACTCTTTCTTTTCTCCCTTTCTGCTCTCTGCATACAAACCCATATACCCACCCCCCGCGCGCCGCAACCTTCTCTTCTTCCCCCCCCCCCCCCGACACCGCAAGCAAACCTGGAAACATCCACCCCCAAAAAATTTGCAACCAAACCTAGAAAACTTCCCCCCCCAAACAAACCCAGATCCAAAACCTCTCCCCTCTCCCCCCGAAAAAACCCGAACCCAGTGCTTCCCGACGCATCGCTGAGTGGGCTCGTCGGCTCTGACAACGAGGTATGTATTCAAATTTTGAATTTTTTCAGTGCTTGGTTGGTGGGTTTAGGGTGCTTACAAATGCGGTCAAAGTTCTAATTTTTGAATGGGTTAGTCTCAAACCACGGAACGATGCCGCACCGAGAAGAGAGAGAGAGGGGAGGAAGGCTGAAGAAAAAGTGAAAAAGGATAGTAGAGAGCAGAGAGGGAGAAAAGAAAGAGTGGTTGGTGTTTTTCTGTGTTGGGCGGAGAAGAAGAAACAGATAGAGGAAGAAGAGGGGTGGGGTGGGTTTCTGCGTTTTCAAGTTTTTTTTTTTTTTAAATTCAGGTTTTAAAAAAAAAGAAAATAAAAAAAAAAAATATTTTGCCACGTGGCACACATTTGGCAGCCACGTGGCACAAATGTGGTAGCCACGTCAGTGCTTAATGGATCAATGGATGGAAAATGTAACAGTTGTATTATTTTGAAATAAAATAGTATTTGAGGTATGAAAATGAAATATTTTAAAGATGTTGTATGGGGTTGTAATAGACCTCAAACCTGAGGGACTACTATGTAATTTACCCTTGATAATTCTATAAATGCTTTTAAATAAAACTGAGAACTTATGCCATGACATATGTATATTTATATGTTATAAAATACTATGAGATGGTTGAGTTAGATTTCATTGTGATCTATCCATATGCGTATTACTATAAATGATTGTTGCGAACTACAAATGGCTTGATCCCTGTTTAGGGTACTTAGGCAGTCTAATGAGACGTTAGATGCAGCCATATAAGAAATGAGATTAAATAGTCGAGACCATAGCCTTGTTTAAGGAATTAAGCAATGTTTGTGGGCTTTTGGTTTTATGTATATATGTATACGCTTGATGTTTTTCCTGGAAAACGCAATTAAATGATTTATGCTTTAAAAATGTCATGCCTATTGAATAATGCTTAAACGATGAGTTGAATTGTTTGCATATATATAATTGTGGTGCTGTGAACGCTCTGAAGTGCAAAGGTACGCAGGACACACAGGTAAGTTCATGTAAGTTCAGGTAAGTTTAGGTAAATTCAAGTAAGTATACGATATTAGTTAACTAATGAGATATGTGATGAGATATGAATATGTCATATAAGTCACTAGAGGTGACTCTGACTATTATATGCTAGCCATAACTAATGAGATATGTGATGAGATATGAATATGTTGTATATGTGATGAGACATGAATATGTCGTATAGGTCACTAGAGGTGACTCCGACTATTATATGCTAGCCATAACTGATGAGATATGAATATATCGTATAGGTCACTAGAGGTGACTCCGACTATTATATGCTAGCTATAATTGATGAGATATCAATATGTCGTATATGTCACTAGAGGTGACTCCGACTATTATATGCTAGCCATAATAATTGATGAGATATGTGATGAGATATCAATATGTCGTATATGTCACTAGAGGTGACTCTGACTATTATATGCTAGCCATAACTGATGAGATATGTGATGAGATATGAATATGTCATATAGGTCACTAGAGGTGACTCCGACTATTATATGCTAGCCATAACTGATGAGATATGTGAGGAGATATCAATATGTCATATAGGTCACTAGAGGTGACTCCGACTTATATGCTAGCCATGATTGATGAGATATGAATATGTCGTATAGGTCACTAGAGGTGACTCCGACTTATATGCTAGCCATGATTGATGAGATATGAATATGTCGTATAGGTCACTAGAGGTGACTCCGACTTACATGCTAGCCATGATTGATGAGATATGTGATGAGACATGAATATGTCGTATAGGTCACTAGAGATGACTCCGACTTACATGCTAGTATATGTAATGAATACGTGATGAGCTAGCCTAGGTGATGAAATATGGGAGGAACTATTATATGTGATGAGTTATGGATAAGTAATACAAGTCACCCTAGGTGACTCCGACTTGCATGCTAGTATGAGTTATTAATCGCATGATTATTTGATATTATTAATAAGATGCTGTGTCGTGGTACATTATGATTTCTCTATAAATTATACAGGTGTTGTAGAGAGGGATTAGATGTTTTATATGTTTTCTATTAGTATTTTACTTACAGGGCCACTCACCCTTGTCTTGTCTTCATCCTCTAGGTATTATTAGCTGAGTTTTATTATCACCAAAGACTTGTGGTGATTCTTAGTATCGGAGACTATTTCGAGGGTATGATTCTTATATCACTTTTCTGTACTTGCTTATGCTCTAACGTCACGTGTGAAGTGGGTTCATTCCTGCTCACCAGTGCAATCTGGTATTTAGGCACTCTTAGGTTTAAATTTATTCACAATTTTCCACATCATCACGCTTTATGGCTTCGTCACATTCCAGGTGTCGGCTAGCACAGCTTGATTCGGAGTCTTAGTGGACATTCCGGGTCGGGATGTGTCAAAACTCCTCCGGAAAGTCGAATTATCACAAAAAAAGTCTTGCGTGCGCAGATTTGCTGAAACTGAGAAAAGGAAAGTAATAAGGTTCTTTTAAGACCAATTCGTTAACAAAACATAGGGATAAATGATATGAAATAATAAAAAATAATGCACTTATCAGTGACTTCTTTATTATGGTTTTCGTGTCAATTTCCTAATAATTGTACTTCAATCTGAACTCAATCCCTTCGTTAAACCCTATTTTGATTAAAATTGTTAATTTTGAGGATAACTTATATTTTGCACCCTAAAATTTCCTATCAATTTTCAAAAAATTGTAAACTTCAATTCGAACCCAATCTTTTCATCAAACCCTTGATTAAAATTGTTAATTTTAAGGGTAAATTTTATTTTACACTCGCAATTTTGTGTTCAATTTTATGTGGATGCAAAATGTAATCAACCCAAATTTTAATTCTAATTATCCGATTTATGAGAGCAGATAAAAGCAACATAAACCATTAGAAAAGAGTAGTCTTGCGTGACAATATGATTTTTGTCTTGAGGAGGAAGAAAAGGAGGAGCTGTGAGTCTTTGACCCGTTTCCCAAGAAAGAGTGATGAGCAAGAATCCGACCCGTATAAAGTTAATTCAATTCAATTCGCACACAATACCGCGATTCAAATCCGAAAATCCCAAACGCAAACCCGAAAACCCAAACCCTAATTCGGTGTAATTTTTCAGTCTTCCCTAGGCGCAAACGCAAAAGCACTTTAGGGAAGCAATGGGGATAATCAGAAGCAGCTTCTCGTTTCTAATGGGCACAGTGTTCGGCGTCTACGTTGCCCAAAACTACGACGTTCCGAATGTCCAGAAGCTCTCCACAACTGGCCTTCTGATCGCCAAGCACATCGAGGAGAACTACCGCAAGCCCAAGAAGAAGGAGGAGGACGACCACTAGATCTCGCCCTGCTACGACGCCATTATCGAGTCAGGTTCATTTCTCGTTGTGGAGCGAAGCGGATATTTTTGGTTGGGAATTTTGTTTAATTTAGGTTTTGGTGGAAATCTGGGGATGCATTTTATCTTGTGAATTGATTTAATTTTGTTTAATTTAGGTTTTGGTGGAAATCTGGAGATGCATTTTATCTTGTGAATTGATTTAGTTTACTGTTTGGTTTCTGAAAAAGTGTAGGAAATGAAAGAAAATTTATTGAAGTTTGCTTTGTTGGCTATTCATTATGTCTGGAATTTACTCTGAATTAGGTTGATTTCATGTTTGGAATTTTTTTCGATTTGCATTGTTATCGATACCATTGTGTCAATTTTATAGGTAATGTCTTCTGTGTAGCTGAAGTCATCATCTGAGAATATGCTTGGTAATCCAATAACAAAGCGAAATATGTATCCTGAAGATTTTCCCAAGCTTTAAATGCTTCCAGCAATTTTACCTTCCAGTTAAAAGGGATGAACAGCTTGAAATCTGGCTAGGAAAGTTTTAATTGTAGTCGACGACACCAAGGAACTTGCTTTTTAGTTAATGCAACTGATAAATATTTCTGTCTGCATGTGCAGTTGATTATGGATTGGGAGTTGTAATAATACTTTGTAGAATCCAACGGAATACATAATTAATTTTCCTTGTCAAACGATAGATTTGGTTAGATTAGATGTTAGGTTAGGAGTGACGGGGTTTGAACGCACGCCGTAATGCAAGGGCTCAACAGCTTTCCATCACTGTGGTAAAAGGCCACTTGCCAACTGAATACATAATTAGTGCAGTTTAGTTTTTCATCTGCAAGGGTGAATAAGATGCAATTCTAATGGAAAAAGAACCCCCAAACATATTTATTGGATAAGTATCCCATGAAATGTCAAGAGTGAAGTGTCAGAGCCAAGTGAAGGAAGAATATGTATTTGAGCTTGATTCTGAATCCTTGTGCAAATGATTTGGGATTCTCATGTGAACTCAATCTCCTCTATCATCACTTGATTCAGAATTCTAATGCCTTCTAGTGGATTTAGTATGACTTTCTCTTCCATTTGTATGTTGATGGTATATTTAAAAAATTAGTGAAAGAAATCAGGAATAGATGTAGGTATTTTTCCATATGAAGATATTTATCCAAACCAGAAAAGATTATACTAACATGTGAATCATAAGCTACCACTTTTATGAACTACTTTAGTGTCAGATACGTAGCACCCAACAATTTGGCCTTAGACAGGGAACTTGTTCACTTTCAATTCTGCTACTCCGTTGAATTCTTGGGAAAATGTTGATATCTCGAACAGTTTCATGATATATTTATTCTACACCAAGGAACTTGCTCTTTGTTAGGAGAATGAGTAGATGTTTCTGTGTTCATTTGATGTCTAGTTGTATTGGATTGTTACAATTCAATGCGATATCCGATTGTGTAGTCCATTATGAGTTGAATTTCTTATTGAAAATAATGCAGCTGTTATCCTTTTCTTATTAAACAACTGAATCAGGGAGAATGAATATCACTTGAAATGTCAAGAATGTAGAGTTTGACAATTAGAGTAATTAAGTGAAGGAAGAATATGCATTCAAGCTTGATTCTGAATCCTTATGCAAATGATTTGGGAACCACATTTGAACTCGATTGCCTTTAATCCAGTTACAAACCATCTTTTCTTATAATTACTTGATTCATAATTGTAATGCTTTCTAGTAGATATAGTATAAGTTGCTCTTCCTTTCGTATACACATGTGTTATCTTTTATGTGTAGCAGTGTTTTTTATGGTATATTTTAAAATCTAGTGAAAGAAATCAGGAAATACAAAGATGTTCAATTAAACAAGAAAAGATCTTACTCCGAATTTAGTTTTTCTCCTACAAACTGTATTGCAAATTTACATCGGGTGCAAATATCCACATCAAGAAAAATGTGAAGCAAAAGTTGAAACATGTGAATCAGTTTCAAATAACCACATACTGCATTCATAGTTTCTGCGACATAGTGTCTTACATATTTACGTCAGTTGCATATATCCACATACTGCATTACACATTTTTTGAAATAATGTGTATTACATATTTACATCACCTGCAAATTTCCACATAAATAATAGAAGAAACTTGTGAATCATAACTCATAAGCTACTCTGTTAAGCTCCTGGCTTGTATATCTAATCAATGATCATGTAGAAGTCACTTGAAAGAACAGAGGCTCTATCACCTTCTGATGGAGATAAAGAAGGGTAGGCCGAAAGGATTTCCCTTTTTTGCAACAAACAGCAATCATCTATGCGTGAAATTGTTAGGATTTTGGCTCGTCAAATATGTCCTAATTGGTTTAGGATTGTTTTAGGAAAATTAGAGGTATACCGATTCTTGTCCTAGAGGGATTAGGAAAGAATTTCAGTTTTCCTTTTTCAATTTAGGTTTGGATTTCTCGAAGTCTATTAGGGATTAATGTAATTTCCAAGTCCACTTAGAAATAGGAATTCAATCAGCCTTGGGACATGTAAGCCGATCCTATGCCTATAAATAGGGTGTGGCAAGGCTTAATTTTTAGAGAGAAAAACAGCCAGAGACAGCCGAGAGTTTTGAGATTAGTTCCAGGGTTTGCAAAAGATCTGTAATCTCTATTATTAATCAAAGGAGCGGTGATCTCTCTTAGAGAAATCACAACTGAATGTAGGCAAAAATTCTGCCAAGCCAGTATAATTCTTGTGTGTTTCTTAGTTTTTATATCTGCTAGTTTAGTCTATTGTCGTTGGTTACATATAAAGGACAAGGTCTAGTAGGCATTTTTTCAATAATTGGTATCAAGAGCTAGGTTCAAGGTGTTCTACGATGTCAAAAGGGAAGATGAATGCGGATCTAGAACCTGCTTTAAAACCCTTTGACGACAAGGATGACTTCACGGAATGACAAAGGATGATGAAGAACATACTGATACAATAGGATTTGGATGATGCACTCCTGAGAAGCCAGAAAACATGACAGAAGCAACATGGACAAACGTTCTCAAGAAGGCCAAGAGTTCCATTGAGATTCATCTCACAAAATCAGTTCAGTCACACATCACTGAAATGATGACTGTCCAGGAAGCATGGGAAAAGTTGGAGAATGTTTATATGGGCAAAACCATGTCCAATAAACTTTTTCTAAGGATGAACTATTCAGGCTTCGACTTGAAGGAGGTGATATTGAAGATCACGTATGCAGGTTCCAGAATTGCATAGCTAATCTTCAGAAGGTCGAAGAAACTTACAAAGATGATGATATGACGATCATCTTGCTGAGGTCTCTACCTTTGTCTTTCAAGCACTTTCGAACAACTCTAATGTTTGACTGCATGATATAACTAAAAGCTTTCAAGGCCCTTATGCCAAAGGCCAGGAGAGGGGACGGGAAAAGACAAAGGAAAAAAAAAAACCGGCAACAGAGGTAGGTCAAAATCCAAAAAGAAAAAGGAAAAGAAGGAAGGTTGCTTCGAATGTGGTTCAGCCGGTCATTGGAAGAGGAAATGCAAGATTTGGAAAGAGAAGAAAGCCAAGATGGAAGGAAGCTCAGGTTCAGCTAGTGCAGTCACCGAGAGTGACGGGGAGCTTCTTTCAGTAACATTAGGCTCCAAGGCTTTCACAAATTGGATTTTGGATACCGGTTGCACTTTTCATACGTGTGCAGTAAGAGAATGGTTCGATACTTACAAAGAAGTCAGCAGTGGGGAAGTCTTAATGGGGGACGATTGTACTGTAAGAGGAATTGGCACTGTTCGAATTAGAATGTTCGATGGGATGATACGAGCTTTGGGGAACGTTAGATATGTGCCTAGACTAAGCAAGAATTTGATTTCCTTGGGTACTTTAGATGAGGCTAGTTATGGGTACAAGTCTTAAAAAGGAAGACTCAGGGTAACAAAAGGGTCGCTAGTGGTATTGTAGAGTGACCTACAACCCAATAAGCTGTATAAATTAATTGGGACCACTATAGCTATTTTTGAAAATCAGAGCGTAGAAGACAAGACTGAACTCTGGCATCATAGGCTCGGGCACTTAAGCCAGAAAGGGTTGCAAGAATTACACAAGCAAGGCATGTTAGAAGGCGTGTCATCTTGCAAATTGGACTTTTGTGAATACTGTGTTCTCGGGGAGCAAAGAAAGGTATCATTTGCAAGTAGTAGTGGAGATAACCGACGCAAGGAACAACTCAGCTATATTCACTCAGATGTTTGAGGCCCTGCACCAACTAAATCAAATAGTGGAGCCAGGTATTTTGTTACTTTCATGAATGATTTTTCTAGGAAGGTTTGGGTTTATTTCATGAAGCAGAAATCCAAGGTTTTTGCAAAGTTCAAGGAAAGGAAACTAGAAACCTAGAATCAAACTGGAAGAAAGATCAAGTATCTGAGAAGTGACAATGGAGGTGAATATACAAGTAATGAGTTTACCGATTACTGCAAGCAAGAAGGCATCATAAGGCACTTCACAGTAAAGAAGAATCCCCAACAAAATGGAGCTGCTGATAGGATGAATCGAACTCTCATGGAGAGAGAAAGGAGCATGCGATTTCATGCAGGATTGCCTGATAGTTTTTGGGCAGAGGCTGTTAATCATGCAAGTTATTTGATTAACAGATCACTATCTACAGTTCTCGGTTTTAAGAGTGCAGAAGAGGTATGGTTTGAGAAGCCGGTGGAGTATTCCAAGTCAGGGTGTTCAGCTGTAGTGCTTATGCACGTATTCCAAGTGATGAAAGGTCCAAGCTCAAACCGAAGTCTATACATTGCATATTCTTAGGTTTTGAGAAAGGATTGAAGGGTTTCAAGCTTTGGGATATCAACAACAGGAAAAAGGTTGTTAGCCAAGATGTTGTCTTTGATGAGACAACCATGCCTCTGAATAAAGTCGAGAGCAGTGGGGAGAAGAGGAACGATGCTGAAATTGAAGCAACAAAGATTCCATTAATCAGTTCAAATGAAGAAGAATCTTAGGTGGAGCAAATCGAGCAAGAGGCTGAATCTGATGGTTTTGAGGAAGAAGAGCATCAGCATCGTTCAGCAGTTAGGAATCAGGTGGACAAGAAACAGGACAGATTGAAGGCACTCCAATCCGCCAGACATCCCAAAGGGTTTGAACTCTAACCAACAATCCACCTGTATTCCAGAGATGCATAGCACTGGACAAACCTAAGCAGAACAAGAAGAAACCTGACAGATTTGGGTTTGACTAAGACGAAGTTAATTATGCTCTTAACATTAGTCAAGGAGATCCAACTACTTATCGAGAAGCTATAGCAAGTGATGAGCGAGATAGTAGGATAAGTGCTATGACAGAAGAAATGGAGTCTGTTTACAAGAACTCTGTTTGGGAGTTGGTTCCTAAGCCCAAAGACATAAAGCTAGTTGGATGCAAGTGGGTATTTAGGAAAAAGGAAGAACTACATGAACAAGATGCCGTGAGATTCAAAGCAAGGCTCGTGGCTAAGGGGTACTCACAAAAGGGGTGGATTATGATGAGATTTTTTCACCTGTAGTCAAGCATACTTTTATTCAATTGATTTTAGCAATGGCAGCTCAGGATGACTTGGAGATTGAGCAGA